ATTCTAAGACCACTAAAAATATCAAAGGTGATTTTCTATTATGACTGACAGCTAATCGTTAATCGGTATTACCGAACAAGAAATAGCTAATTGGACCATTTTAAATTTTACATAAGATATTCTTCAATTTTCTCATCGCCTGTCTAAACTAATAAGTCATTTTTGTTACGTCAATCGATATTAATCAATAAAGATTCAACCACCTTCTTAATAATTAAATTACAATGTTGGCTCTCTACATTTTTCTTGTAACTATACAAATAAAAAAAATATTATTTATTGCGAATACAAAAATTAGAAAGCATTTTAAATATAAATAAACCAAAGTCCAGAACATTCAAAATTTTCTAAATTAAAAAAGAAAAATGAATTCTTTTTAATCAAGTATTTTTTACGACATTCTTATCAAAACTTTTAAATTCTTCTTGTTGATATGATTAGTGTAAATGATTAGTCACATAGAAAACAAACAAAATCATTAATTTAAATAACTTCCTACGTATCTGTTAATAAAACCCCAGTCGTAAAGGCATCGAAATGAATTTAAAATTTACATTATTCAAGATAATTATGCCAAATATAAAATAGAAAAAATTAACTAGTAGAAAGATTCTAAAAATAAAATTCAAAGTACTTTCTTAAATATTTCTCTTTCATCAATACGTAAATAATTAATACTTTACTATTAATAATTAGCGGAATATAATTAATGATTTCAAAATTTTTACGTAGTTTTTATCATTATTATTATTAATAATAATAATAAGACATATTAAATTTTTTTAAAGAGTAAAATAAAATAAATTCTCAGACGAATTTCAATATAATAGATTCAATAACACATCTCATACAAACATTATTAATAGTTTCGCATATTTAACACAACTGATAACATATTTATTATTTCTCATATCGTAATATTTAATTAAATGAAAGTAAGATACTAGATTAAAGTGAATAATAATTCTATTCTTTAACATTGTAAAAATTATATTTATATATTTACAACTTTCATTTAATCTTCGTATATTGTTAATTAACATAGTAAGATAATTACGAAAAAAAAGTTGTTTTAAAATCATTGTATCCACTTCAGGAAGATGATAAATCATTGCCTTAGTGAATTTATGAACCAAATAATTTCCATATTAAACAAGGATCCAGATGTGAGGATTAAGCCGGTCTCTAACACTTACGATTAGGATTAACGAACGATATCATGCATGAAAGATGCCTATTAGATGTACTCTAATAAGGATCTAATTAGCATCTTTATAATGAGAAACTTATCGCCAATATTAAAATCAAACAACGCTTTGACAGAAATATGTTTAGACCACTATGATGTAATCCTCCAATCAGTTTAAGATGAATCTTTTAATCAATGATAAAACAATACATCAAAAAGAGAGGACATTATATCACTGACAAAAACTAGTAAAACTCGAAAACTTATTTATCTTAATCAAATATAAGAAAAAAACAATCAATTTCTTGTTATAAAATTATAAAAAAAAAACATTAATTATAAAATTAGATAGGGATAAATATCTTTAAGATAGCTAATACATTGAAGGAAGACATAAATCAAGTACACGTTACAAAGCTTAGCGCTAATCTGTCATTAAATCCAACACATAAGAAAGCCGTAAAAAGCATATATACATATAAACCATTGAAGTATTGTACTCACTTCAAAAATTCTAATTTGGATCACATTGATAAGCAAAACACGCAAAGTGTATCGTGCATGTTGTTTTGATCCAATCAAAGGAAGAAAGCCGACAGGAAGACAAAGTCAATAACAAAGCATGAGATGGTTCCTAGTTTATCTGCGAGCGCCAGACGTCCTAATGAGACGCTGACTCTTCGATGCTGACGTCCTTCGACCTTTTGCACAACAACCGAAGAGGATAGAATAACAAACCAGAACTAAATTCAGTCATGTTATCACCTTCCGGCACAAGAATCTAGACACACCGAACTTAGTCCCGATATTCTTCTTTGGTGTTTCTCATCCCTTCTATCATACAATCGATTGCCTTAAGCCGAAGGAAACATCTTAATTCTATTTTGTATTCTTTGTCGTTTCCAAGTTTACTAAAAATTTAATAAAAGGACTCTACAAAAAGTATCCCCTCGGCCATAAATATCTTTCTGTTCTTCCTTCGGGCTTTATACAGACTTTTATGTAATAATAATCCGTGTAGTAAAGGAGTAAAATTAGTTAAATTTACACTCCTGTAATTATTGTTACATTGCATGCTACATATATTGTGCAGTGAAGCAATTCCATAAACTCCAGCCAATGTTATTCGCGATAGACTCCGCTTTATTCTACTGCTTATTTATTCTCTTTACACTTAATTTGCATAATTTTAATAAACAAAAAATAATTAATTAACTATTCGTTACGAAAAGAACTACTCACCTTAGTTTAAGAATTAACTCAATGATTTATTTTCGATATCGTAATACATCCAAGACCGATGTAACCTTTAAAAAGTGTAAAAGATATTTCATTAATTTATTTATAAAAAAAACTTAATTATGTTTAAAATTTAAAACAATTTTATCGTACAATTTAAGTAAAAACTATAAAAACCATTTTCTAATTTAAGATAATAAAATTAAAATGTAGCAATTATATATTATTACTTTTACTTCTTGTTATGCCACGTGTTGCGTTGCAATCACATAAAATCAGAAAAAATCATTATATTTATTAAAAATAAAACTGAATAATGAATAATTAACTTATATGCAAATATGTAACTAATGACATATTTAAATGTTTTATCTTTTAATCATTTTTTTCTGCGCTAGATGTCGCCATCGTACAGTGCCCCACTTCGTTGTAAGGTTAATAATAATCTATCAGCTAATTATATCTCCATTAATTATTTTAACGTAGATCTAATTAAATTATTAAATATTAAACTATTTATTTTGCAACTCTTCTAAGTGTTTCCATGATATAAAATACTAATATTAAGCTATTTAAATTCTCTTAATTATTAAACAATAGTTCATAGGAACTTTCACGAATTAGTTTTAGTGTTAAATAAATACAAAAAATAACAATAAATAAAGTGAAATATTCCTATATTCTTTCAGTAGCAACCGCTTTCAGACGTAAATGCATTTACTTAGGCTACATTGAAATGATAAGTAAATTTGCCTTTTCTATCAGAGTTCAAGTCCACGAGTGTTTAGCAAATATCAAAATTTTTGATAAGCGAAAAGATTTACGTGGGCAAAATATATATTTTTTTATTTATTAAAATTAATATAGAAATAATTATTAATATATAAATTAACAAGGATTTTAAATTACAAATAATTCTAACTTAACACAGTAATTTCTGTAATTTTTTTTCTTTGTATTAAAACTCAGATATAAAAAATTAATTGTAAAACGTATATTTCAGTCGTATATTGTTAATTAACATAGTAAGATAATTACGAAAAAAAAGTTGTTTTAAAATCATTGTATCCACTTCAGGAAGATGATAAATCATTGCCTTANAATAATTCTATTCTTTAACATTGTAAAAATTATATTTATATATTTACAACTTTCATTTAATCTTCGTATATTGTTAATTAACATAGTAAGATAATTACGAAAAAAAAGTTGTTTTAAAATCATTGTATCCACTTCAGGAAGATGATAAATCATTGCCTTAGTGAATTTATGAACCAAATAATTTCCATATTAAACAAGGATCCAGATGTGAGGATTAAGCCGGTCTCTAACACTTACGATTAGGATTAACGAACGATATCATGCATGAAAGATGCCTATTAGATGTACTCTAATAAGGATCTAATTAGCATCTTTATAATGAGAAACTTATCGCCAATATTAAAATCAAACAACGCTTTGACAGAAATATGTTTAGACCACTATGATGTAATCCTCCAATCAGTTTAAGATGAATCTTTTAATCAATGATAAAACAATACATCAAAAAGAGAGGACATTATATCACTGACAAAAACTAGTAAAACTCGAAAACTTATTTATCTTAATCAAATATAAGAAAAAAACAATCAATTTCTTGTTATAAAATTATAAAAAAAAACATTAATTATAAAATTAGATAGGGATAAATATCTTTAAGATAGCTAATACATTGAAGGAAGACATAAATCAAGTACACGTTACAAAGCTTAGCGCTAATCTGTCATTAAATCCAACACATAAGAAAGCCGTAAAAAGCATATATACATATAAACCATTGAAGTATTGTACTCACTTCAAAAATTCTAATTTGGATCACATTGATAAGCAAAACACGCAAAGTGTATCGTGCATGTTGTTTTGATCCAATCAAAGGAAGAAAGCCGACAGGAAGACAAAGTCAATAACAAAGCATGAGATGGTTCCTAGTTTATCTGCGAGCGCCAGACGTCCTAATGAGACGCTGACTCTTCGATGCTGACGTCCTTCGACCTTTTGCACAACAACCGAAGAGGATAGAATAACAAACCAGAACTAAATTCAGTCATGTTATCACCTTCCGGCACAAGAATCTAGACACACCGAACTTAGTCCCGATATTCTTCTTTGGTGTTTCTCATCCCTTCTATCATACAATCGATTGCCTTAAGCCGAAGGAAACATCTTAATTCTATTTTGTATTCTTTGTCGTTTCCAAGTTTACTAAAAATTTAATAAAAGGACTCTACAAAAAGTATCCCCTCGGCCATAAATATCTTTCTGTTCTTCCTTCGGGCTTTATACAGACTTTTATGTAATAATAATCCGTGTAGTAAAGGAGTAAAATTAGTTAAATTTACACTCCTGTAATTATTGTTACATTGCATGCTACATATATTGTGCAGTGAAGCAATTCCATAAACTCCAGCCAATGTTATTCGCGATAGACTCCGCTTTATTCTACTGCTTATTTATTCTCTTTACACTTAATTTGCATAATTTTAATAAACAAAAAATAATTAATTAACTATTCGTTACGAAAAGAACTACTCACCTTAGTTTAAGAATTAACTCAATGATTTATTTTCGATATCGTAATACATCCAAGACCGATGTAACCTTTAAAAAGTGTAAAAGATATTTCATTAATTTATTTATAAAAAAAACTTAATTATGTTTAAAATTTAAAACAATTTTATCGTACAATTTAAGTAAAAACTATAAAAACCATTTTCTAATTTAAGATAATAAAATTAAAATGTAGCAATTATATATTATTACTTTTACTTCTTGTNACTGATTTTAACCAGTTCTATAGTAAGGTAACATTCCAATAGACAATATGCAAAGCTTTTTTTTCAGTTTACAGCAGTATTTATTACACAAAATTTAAGTAAAGCTTAACATGCCGATCTTGCCCCGGTCTCCCCTAATAATTCGATTAGAACATTTCAAATTGGTTGTATAAATGTTTCCCAATGGACTAAACGACATATTTTTCAATAAATGCGAAAAGAACTATTTTAACAAAATGTTTACATACCTTTATTGATCTTTTACTTTATAAAAGACAGTTTTAATTAATGTAAAGTTTAATGTCCTTTGAAGTCATTTTTATTTATTTCGCGTAAGGAGTTTATCTTTAGTACAATTTTTATAATTGGAGTACGTATTTAGAAACTTTAAAAGTTCGTAAAACGATCTTATCGTTATCATTATTTTCCTTTTATAATTATATTTAAACTTGGCTTTAAATAAATATTAATCAATTAAGTAAAATTATTAAGTTTTTCTACAATTAAAACCAAAATTTTTCAATAGATTATTGTTTTAAAAGTTAATATTTATATTTTAATTTTGTAAGTTTAAATAAAATTAGTATTATTATAAAATTAAATATTTCATAAGTGAATTTACTGTATAATATTTAAAGTCTTCTACTGTATAACCTTAATGTTTAAAGAGAGTCAGCAATGATTTAGAATGAAATGTTGCTTTAAGGATATTTATCGATTGAAATCTAATTGTAAAAGTAAATGAAGGATGAACAGTTTATTCGAATCTAAGACAGAAGCCATCGTATAAAAGTTTTACACTATATCCAACAGTGGTATTGAGCCACGTTGTAAACAGAAGGTAACAAGTTGAAACATTAATTAGTATGGATATCCAGTGGCAAGACTCACTTGTCACTGGTTATTGCAGCTTACTTTACACTCACCTTTCTTAATCATTAATTTAATATTTAAATTTATATCGGAATAAGAGACTTCGCTGATTGTCAGTCCAAGCAATAAGAAAGTATTAGAAAAAAATCTACATCTAGTTAAACTTAAAAAAGAAGAATTTAATTTGTCTTGCATCTGATAAAAAAAAAGGGGGAAAAAAATATGTACTGTGTTAGTAGAAAGTTAGTTGTTGGAGAAAGAAGACGACGTTGGTTATAATGTAAATCAGCAGGAGCTTCTAATGGATGCAAAGTGACAATGATGAATGGGTGTCCATATCTGGAGATAGCATTTCCATCCGCAGACACGCCCGCTGGCCTCGCTACACAAAAAGACACCACACCAATTGCTTTTTCTTGATGATGTTTCTCTATCCTTCGGATTTACTCTATATTAAAGTACTTTGATCCGAAAGGTAAGCGTTTCTTTCCAAATATTTTTTGAATTTTAGAAATTTATAAAATAACTTTTTCTTGTTTTCTTTAAAACGTTTCGAACCGAACTTAAAAATTTAGAAAATAGTTACTATAAATGTCGAGAGAGGTCGTTAGTTGCGTAAGAAATTGTCGCTTCCGTATAATTGCTCTTGCGCCTTTCGACCAACTGGCGGCGAAAGGTGTAAATTTTAAATCATTTCGATAAATTAAAAAAAATTTATTGAAACGATCATAAAAATGATCATTTTTTAAAATTTTGCCGCGAGGATAAATATTTCGTAAAATAGATACGGGACATTCACTCATTACAAACCTGTCAAATGCCTAGTCAGGTCGGTGACAGTGCTTTATAGTTTTTTTTTTTTCTACACAGATTTATTGCTCTTGTGTCTGTAGAAGTTTGTACGATTCTTTAATATATTGGTTTAACTGAATTTAACATGGTTTTTGTCTAGAAAAGAACGATTTACGGTCGCAGCATGTACTGCATTGGTGATTAAGTAGTAAACATTGTCCATATATCATATTGCTTTTAGAAATTACTCAACTGTTAATTTAACTTGAATATCTGTTTTAACTTGCTAATATAATTCTATTCATATATTCATTTGTGATATATATTCATATATTTATATGAGTTATTACAATTCCTTCTATTCATTTATTAAGGAATACCTGAATTAATTTGTATTGTTTCTATGAACTAGTATCTAATGGTTTATTGGATACAACATCTATTCAAAAAATGTGATAGGATATTGACTTTATAACTGTTTAAAGAAAAATTAATTTAGAAACTGGGAATCGTCTATTTTACTAAAATGTATTTACATCATCACTTATTGCAGCATAATAAATCGGTTTATAAACCTATACTTTATAGCCCTGTATAACTTGTATAAACCTATAACCATGTACAAATCTATGTATAGAGCGATAAATACTTCAACTTTTGATAACCTTATGATCTCGATAAATTTACAAACTTCTCAAACCGATTTATATAAGATGAGACTTTTATGCTCATTTATCTTTTGGATGTTTTTGATGTTCATTCACCCTAAGTAAATGAGGCGCAAGCAATGAGAATGTAAAAAATCTTTAAAAAACCGGAAGAAAATTTCGGAACATTTTTAGAGACGATCAATAACTTCTAGGAAATGGAAAACTTTTCAGATCTTTCGTTACAATTCGTCACGATATAAAGTGACTTCTCAGAATTTTACACACATTATATGCGTGACAAACTGCCATACTGGCAACCGAAGAAAAGGATTAAAGCAACGTACTGTACAGTATATTTCTAAGTCTCTATAAAGAGTTGATTTCCGTTGAGTGTTCTATGCGTCCTTTTAATGTCAACTATCACTAGAGCTTAGAAGGGACTTCTTCAATTTACACAGAAAGGTGAGTACGTAAAATTAAATAATTCGTGAGTAATTAAGAATAGGACTTAAAACATTTTTGAAAATTAATATAATGACCGTCCGAAAAATGTAAAAATCGAGAATTTATATGATTTAAGTATATTTTATGCAGTTATTAAAAATGATGCAGCAGGCAATTCATCCGATCTGGAACAATTAGATGGCGTAGCCACATCACTCGACGGGAATGTCACGGTACAATAATGTCTTACAGTCATAGGTAATTCACGTACTTTTCCGTTACCGGCACAACACGCTTCACCAACCAATCGTATAGTTGCGTGAACAACAAAAAAAAAAGGACACTTAAAACACGGATATCTCGATAACTTGTGCTCGTATATTCCGATAATAATATTATGACCTTCCCGATGATTAAGTTTGTGCATCGAGACAAACAATTCGTTTAAACTACAATTCACAATATAATTATTAATAATTGGCATTATTCTCGCGTGCAGCACTTGTCCGACATGATAAATATCTACGATTCTAATACGGCACGTAACACGCAATTTTGATTTTATTTTTGAACGTGCAAGTAAGAGGATCGTTATTAAACTAAAAAGCGTTCGTTACTTTAGACGGTGAGAAAGAATGTGTTAGAGAATAGCACCATTGGTTAGTCTGACACCGTTAGTGAACGACACCTGACTGCTGCCCCGAGAATTACGGAGTGAGACGGAGCTAGTACCTGTAATTATCAGTGTTGTACTTGAGCTATATCAAACAACAAGATAATGCCACATGAGTCTTAGACGTGAGAGGCATTTCGGAGCTAAGAGTGGGTGGAGTCTCAACTGAGATAGCAAAAAGTTATTTTAAAAGACTGCATTTCCTTCCTTGTATCTACTCGAATCCCTTAATAAGCCGAAGAGACAGTATCTACAAATGTAGTTTTTTTTTTTTTTTCAAAATAAACTTTCATGAGGAAAGAGCAAAAATTACATTTAGAAATATGAACGTGTGCACAGATTTTTAATAATGCATTGTTTTGGTCAGGCACGTTGACATTCGGTTTCCATTATTTTGTAATTAATTGTGGTAAACGCCCTATAATTAGAATTAAATGCTCGGAATGGCCGCGACGAATGAAACAAGCAAATATTAAATCATGACTGTTCCTACGTGTAGTAAATATACTTACATTAACACGAATTTATGTATACAATGTTTTAAAAATAACTACGCATTCGGAATTAACATAGTTACTTGAATATATACTCAGGCAGATGATAGTGTTCGTGTTTTATATCTAATTCTTCCTTTTCTTGTCAGAAGGATTATGAAATTTAATAAACGGGTGAAAAAATATTAGCTTTGAAGGCATAAATATGGAATACATTTAAAATGCAGATCATTAAAGGTGCCCTTTTCAAAGTAAATGAGCCAGTTGCTACTTCTGGCGACATCTAGAGGAGAAATAGTGAATGAAATATCCTGTTGTTGGTCGAAACTAAAATCTCAATTATGTTGTCACGTTTACTGACACCGAGCTCTAATATCTTTCGTGGCTGCTCTTTTACTCGTCTCTTTGTTCAGCCCGGGCCACCTGGGGTTTGCTCTACGGAAAACAGAAGGTAGATGCTTCAATGACGTAATATTATCTTGTGTTGATAAATGAGATTATCAAAATGAATTTCGCCCACTGATTAAAAGAAGAAGAAAAATTTTGTAAATAAAATATAGCGGTCGATATAAAATTGTTTTCAATATAGCAAGATTATTTTATTAGTTTTTAAGAGGAAATTATTTGAGTAAAAAATAAAAACAAAATGAAAATTTTCCTTAGATTCTCTCATTAAACACTATACTAATTCTTTTGCCAATCAAGTTGAGTGAAGTGTGAAATAATTTTCAGTTTTGTTTTGTAGTGATTAGCTTTTACTCTCTTTCTCTCTACCCAATTAACTAACGATCTGTGACAATTGTTCACATTTAAATAAACAACGCTTGTTTCTTCCGCATTATCATTATCGAAATTATTCAAAAACAAGAATTAAATAAATTTTTTTGCTTTACACGTAAATAAATTTACGTGTAAAGCAAAAAAAAATTAATATTTCAAAAAGAAAATGCGCTTATTTTTTTATAAAGATATTTAGATTATAGGAAAGAATATAAAGGATNACTTTAACGATACGGAAGCCGTTAATGTGCAGATTACCTAGATACTCTGCAAATTACTTAGGTAATTTGAGAAATTGAACAATTTTCGCAGCTTTAACGGATCACCCTAGTTAATCTGCAGATTAGCTAGGTAATGTACACATTAACGGATTTCGAGCTTTAGCGGTAACATATATATTATCAATTCAAGAATTGAAAACAGAAATTCTAATACACCAAAATAGACTTTTATATAATACCTGTATTAGAACACTGGCTAAAAATTTAATGTTCCTATTGTTTCTAGGTTCAAAAACAACGGAAAAAATCTCTATAAACGGATATTAATAAATAAATACGTAGTAAATATAAAGAAATAAATGATAGCTTTTCTCTTAGAAAAGAACTTAAATTCCAATACTTATTTTTTATTCATTTTGGCTATAAAAATTATAAATACAGTAAAATATTTTAAATTAAACTTTAATAAATGCAAATTTAAGTGTAAATTAAATGAAATAAACAATTTAATTAATATATTTTTCATAACAAAGCTTAAAATATGATTATATAGCTTTTAATTGAGAAAATAATGATGATCAAAAAATATATTTTTACAGAGCTTATAATTTCCTACACTTGGAACATACCTAAGGCATTGTTTAACTTGTTTTAAGAAGCTCTTTTTGGTTGTTCTTCACGCATGAGGCGTTTCCTATATCTTATCTATTACATGTCATGATAGATCTACTCAGAATTACTTGTAATTATCGGATATTTTCATTATTGATAACTATCAATCGTTACGATGAGGTAATTTCAAGGTAAATAGTCTATGATGATACATCAAATATTGAAATATTCATGTTAGTGACATGAAACTTGCTTACCTTCGTGTCGGATAGTGGTTAGTAGAAACCAAAATTTAATTAAAAAGTTTTCACACCTTTTTTAAAGCTTTTCACGCATTACTTGGAGAACTAATCTACGAAGAAGTTTATTATTACATTCACTTTTATACAGTCTTAAAATTTCACAGCATTTATTGCATTGGATTTCTACATTCAAGGTTTAAATTATACGCTTTGAACTTTTGTCGTATCGATATTTAATAAGTATACTTGTCTAACTAAATATCAATATCATAATAAAATCTTTAATTTCTTTATTTTTATTATTTTTCATTATAGCCATAGTCTATAAATTATGTAGAATATAAAGATACTAATATAAAAAAAAATTTTTTAATTAAAAATAATCTCTTAACTTACAAGATGCAAATGTTAAATATATCAAGATAATGCTGCTACAATAATTCGCATGATTATCGTACTTATCTATAGATGAAAGGTCTGATTATAGTACATTAATTAACTTAGCAAGATAAGTCTAAATTATTCTCACAATACACCAAATAAAGATTATAAATGAATTCAAGCCTT